ATATATATAAGTATATATATATCTATATATGGTCAATGTTGAGCCAATAATGATGCCTACCTGTCGTTTTCATAATTTTTTCTACAGCTTCTTTAGGACACACCAGTTCACCAGTGACGTAGATACCTCTAGAATTATTAAATAATCCAATTGAAGCCTTTTTGTCTTGAGAAGCTCCCGCTTCTAAATACCATTTTTCTGGCTGAATAGGCGCCTCAGTTAGTATGTGAGTAATGGCCGCATCAGTGGCGAAGGTGCAAATGTTCTGACCAGATGCGTTTCCAGATTCATACATCCACTTGGTAATAACTTTATTGCCATGTAATTTAGCAACTATGTTGATTAATTTGCCGTGATTGGTTGTGCTCTCTGCAACTCCTTTCATTTTCGGAAACAATTCGGGACGGTTAAACCACTGAAAGAATTTGTAGGCGTCAGACAAGCTTTTGAATACGAATTCTGGTGCCCTTTGAACTTTTTTCTCCTGAACAACCGTGTTCAAACCTCCACTTTCGTTGATGAGCTTACAACCTCTCGAGTACGATGCCACCATAGCCGATTCCGTCGTAGCCAGTGGAACAGCATACGATCCATTGGCGTGCATTCCATTCACATTCACGTTCACAATGCCGATCGGTACCTTCACGGTACCCAAGTAGTTTTCAATGTTTTGTGTGTATATGCTGTCCTTGTACATATCATCCAAAGGTGATAGATCCACCGTCTCTAAAATTTTGGAATCAATATGTCGCTTTCTGTTTATCGCTGATACACTGTCTGATATGTACTGGCTTCTAAATACAAGGTTTCATTAAGTATAGAAAATTTTATATACGTCTCTCGATATTGGTACAGTAGTGTGTAATTTAACTCCCCAAAATCCTTTCAACAACCAAAACTTTTAGAATGTATTTATATATCTATTCAGCTCTTATTACCTAAATAATACTATAATAACAATATTCACAATAATGCAGGGGTGGCACCAGAGTGGGGGGGGGCATAGCATAGCCCCCGTCGGGGAAGCATAGCCTCCCCCCCCCCCCGTCGGGGAAGACGATACATTTTGTCGGGGAACAAACAAATAAAAAAAAATGTTTACATGTAATATTCGTTTAGCCACCATATCGTTTGTGTTAAATTTTCATCACAACAACAACCACAATAACAATAATAATAATAATAATAATAATAAAAAAAATAATAATAATAATAATTCAATGAGACTAATTAAAAATAATTTGCGTTCTGTTATGACAAATGCTCATTTAGATAGCCTCATGATGGTTGGAATACATCGTGATACATCGACCATGACAACGTGGTTGACAGATTTCATGCAAAATTTCCAAAATATAGAATTTCACTTTCAAGAATGAGGATTTGAAAATAAATTAGACGGTTACATTGCATACTCTTTGTTTCTTGCTTTATTCAAAATGTTTTTGTTTTGGAAGCTGATGTCAACATTAGAAAGCATAGCCTACATGAAGTCATATTATAGTAACTCGATGCCTATCAAATAAGTAGTAAATAATTCATCAAATATCCGTGGCTTCCAGGGGGCGAAGCCCCCTGGACACCCACCGGCGTCCCCCTGGCCCCCAGCCAAGTGAGACTCGATTCGCTCCACTAGCCCCCCTGTCGGGGCCTTTAGCCCCTCCGTCGGGCAGGTCCTAGCCCCACCCCTGCACAATACATTACAATATTATAGACAATACCATTTTAAAATGCTTTAAAATTTCTTTCATTTAAATTTAAAATGAGTTTAAACGGGTGTAACGTTATGTTTTCGTAGCCATTGCCCTCTTAATTAGAGCATGCAAGGCATCATGCTAATGCACGTAAATATTGCCTTAAAACTGTGCCATTAACGTGTACTTCTTTCCACTAGTCTTTAAGTGTTAAAATAGCATTTTGTCACATATAATCCTAATGTTGTATAACAAATGGCATTAATCACAACTTAACTTAAAGAATTTAAATTGCATGAGATTGACCGAAAATCTAAAGTCACACAATACTTACGACTTATATCTGAAAGAAGTTATTTCAATATTTTGTCCGTTTTGGTTTGAACATTCTTTCAATGACTTTCCAATGCCTGTTCGTCGATGAAGTGTCATAGTGAAAAATCTTCCAACGTAATTGCCAGTAACCACTCTCTGCAAACTAGCTAAACTTGACATTGTATTGTACTCAAGTAGTAAATTTAAAAGTCTGATAATAAAAATTAAATAAGCATACATTTATATTATTTCATAATTTTTTTCTTTGATTATTAATGTGAAATCTTTTATCTGATACCAGTATTTTATACAATCAATATGGAAATGTAAATTACCAGTAGTAAAACACGTTCAAACCATATTTTAAAAAAAATTATAGTCAGATGTTTAAAATTATTTCAGTAGAACACGTTTAATCCATAATTCCCGGATTAAAGTCAGATGTTTAAAATATTTCAGAAAATAACATGGTATCATTTTGTTTTGAAAAATACATTTTCGGTCAGTGGAATCATTGAATGATGTTTTTCAGTCATCCTTAGTGGTCGCTTAAAGGGGCCCAGCAATCCCCCTCCTAATTTCTTTTTTATATGGAGAAAAATAGAAATTGGTGTTTTCATCTAGGTGCCATAACGAAAATGTTCTTACCTCAGCAAGCGATGGTGGGTTCTATCTAAGACAGTCCCTCTTCTATTTTGAATTTCTGAATCCGCAAGTGATCCTGAACATAAATCTAATCTAACTGATTATGAAACCCATTCATTATCAGTACAATAAAAAATACATTTGACAATTACAATGTGTCCGCGATTAATTATATTAAAGCGGTATGATATTTCACAAAACATGGCCAAAATCACATAAAGACTTGAACTATACCTTATAATATTATTGTTTCATTATTCAGACGAGAGTAGCTGGTACCGTTTTACCGGGTAGCTCAGACATGAAGAGATCCTTAGGGGAGAAGCAAGTTACTGTGCGAGCTAGTCCACAGCGCTTTGAGACTCCGGTATAAAGTGCTATGTAAATCGAAATACATTCCGAACCTAATCGTTTAGGACTTTAGACTTGAATTTCAAAGGGCCACTAATTTTCTTAAAGGTTCCCAAAACACCTGAATTTGAATAATGATGTTCTTTTTGTTCCATAAGTTTAATAATACTCCAAGAACAGACACAATCAACGCCGAAACACCGAACACGACAGAATGCACCCTATATCCCGGAGTATATACTATACCTTCCCATTTAAAATTAATGGTTTTTAAATATTAAAAATAATATTTTGTAAAGCATTATGACAGTATAGAATTAATTGCCGAGCACCTAAGTGGCTGTTTATTATCACGAATACCAACAATAATTATTTTATTAGTGATGTTTCCGTGGTGTCCAAAATTCCCTTTTGCAAAGATTACCAGATCTCTTTCACCAATGGACAATTACAAAATAAAAGTATTAAATACCAGTTTCGTTTTCTCCATCACCAAATGAACATTAGGAATTATCTTTTAAACGAATTTCACAAAGAAGATCGTTTATTATAATAATTGTATGCAGTATTATATATTGGAAATATATCAGTTTCGTGTCCATAGTAAAATCATGTAGTGATAAATATAATATTTCGCTCCACTCTTTACTATTGTATATTACATTAAGTTCATTTCCCCATTTACGAAGTGATTTCTACATGATATAGGCCTATTTTGAATTGTTAAGAATATCGGTATCATCTGCGACAACCTTGTTTGGCCTAGTTCAGACTAGGTGGATAAACCCGGCTCAACTCACCGGGTTTATCAACCTGCCAGTCTGAACTAGGTGGCTTATCTCAAGCCGGCCTGTGTTCCTATAGTAACTAGGCCTGGCGCGCCACCGTGTGTAACTTTTCTAAGCCGGGCTTTAATCGTTGCGCGGTCTTGCATTGACTTCGGGTGACGAAATGACCAAACAGCATCCAATTACGTACGCTGTGAGCGAGCGTACGTTTCGCGAGCAATGTTTTGAAACACGTTTGCTGGTTACGGTTCATTATTATGCAAATTCTCGCCTGGCTACACCTGCTAGTCTGAACGCCCGGCAAAGTTAAGCCGGGCTTCACTCAAGCCTGGCTTATCTCCAAGTCTGAACGTAGCCTCAGGCCTAGTTCAGACTAGGTAGATAAACCCGGCTCAACTCACCGGGTTTATCCACCTGACAGTTTGAATAGATGGCTTATCTCAAGCCGGGCTGTGTTGCTATAGTAACTAGGCCTGGTGCGCCACCGTGTTTAACTTTTCTAAGCCGGGCTTTAATCATTGCGGAGGGGTGGGGTGGTCTTGCATTGACTTCTGGGTAACAAAATGACCAATCAGCATTCAATTACGTACGCTGTGAGCGAGAGCAACGTTTCGCGAGAGCAGTGTTTTGAAACACGTTTCCTGATACGTAGATCCACTAAGATAATGGTGCTTTATAAAGTATCCCCATGCATCTGTTACCTTTTGCCAAAAAACATTTTTTATATTGTTTCTTTTTTTATTAACGGTATTTTATTGTTTCGTAATTCCGAACCTAATCGTTCATGATTTTATACTTACATTTCAAAGGGCCACTAATTAGTTTAATTGTTCCCAAAACACCTCAATTTTAATAATGAGGTTCCTTTTGTTTCATAAATTGAAAATGAAGTAACGACTTTTGGGGTTTACTGTACATGGAAACGGAAGCTGATTTTGTGACCTAAAATATTATGAGGTTTTATTAAATATATAATTTTCTTCTTTTTTTTTACACAAATATCAAAGTAAAAGTCAAGTTATGACCAGCATATGACAATAATATAGCAAATGTAATAATAAAATATTGGTTTTCACCAGTAAAGTGTTTCTAAAGTCTCTACTTGGTATTCGTTTCCTATATTCTTTTAGTATTTTTGGCTTTCACAGCAGTACTGGGAAAAGCCATTGTTTTTGTTCTAATTTTTTTTCTTTTTTCTTACATATATTTTTCCTATCTTTTTGCACTGTTTTTTCTGGCCGTCACTTTCCATGTGCTTGCAATTTTTCCGTGCTTTGCCGAAGCATAGGCCATATATCAAGAATGTGCCTCCTAATATTTAGTGTCAATCTATGGTGGGGTGTGCGTGTGAGAACCAAGTGATTTAAGGTCAAACAGTCTACACCGAATATTTCAAAAACCGGTCAGTTGATCTGAATAAAACTTACGGGAAAGTTTAACCCAAGTTACAAGGAAAATATTATTATGTGTATCCAGGTTAGGGTGTATCTTTGAGGGTCATTTAAATTGCTTACGTCCCAGTTATAGATGGATAAAAATGACACTTTGCAGAATAGTTTTTTTATGGTGAATTGAAGAAATGATCCAATTTTGGTGACGACCCGCAGTAGGATGTGGATATGAGGACCATTTAAAGATTTTTGTTGACAGTTGATTAAATTATTTAAACGCAATTTGCGTTTTCTAAAGCGCTTAAACCAGTTACAGCTTGGTTAATCTCAAAACTACCGTGATACGCAAGAACAATTTGCTTTCAGTCATTGAATCGCTATGAACTGCAAATGCACTTTTCCATGCAAGGTCGGCCCATTTAGCGCGCCATGGTTATGGGTCACGATGTACCTCACTGTTACCATTGCAGCAATAGTTCAAGTCTCACTGATAACGTTGCAGTGAAATTGGTTTTCATATTTTCCCCACTTCAATTTTCCACTTTATTAAAATTATATTGGTTTTCCTTGTTTTTTCGCGCCGCACCTTTAGGCTGTAACGATTAAGGGGAAATAGTCATTAAGAAACTGTAGGTAGCGGTAGATTTTGCTACAAAGAAATGAGGAATGTTGTGGCAAAATGGCTAAGTTGTAGCAATTGAAATTCAAGTTATTGGTATTTTCAAATACCTGAGTATGTGATCTTTAAAATGAGGGGTCATTCATTCAAATTGGACATTTCAAACCTAAGTTATTGGAAAGTGAAAGTACTGTACTCTTAGAGTCAAGATAAACAGGGTTTTGAGTAATTGCCTTTCAAAGTGATTTGTGCATACATTGTTTAATATCTACGAACAATAACTTTAAATAAACAATTTGTTAACCACTTCCAGAACTAATACTTTGAGACATGATTAATAAGACATTAAACTGTTGACCTATAGTGAAAAAAAAACAAATTTGGATTTTTAGCAATTTTTTGAGCTCCCATATTGTATAGCTCATTTAGTGGCGAGTCGAATGGCCGAGTGGCGAGTCGAATGGCCGAGCGGTTAGCAGGGGCGCCGCAAGCTATAGCCATAATATCGGCGCTGGTTCGAACGGCACGCTCGCCTATGGTTCTGGTGGTAGAACAAGTCTTCACGGACTAGATGTGTATAAGAGACAGCCCTTAGGGGCGAAGAAAGTCATTGATCGAGTTCCTAGTCCACACATCACCAGCGCATTGAGACTTCGGTATAATGCGCTATACCAAATCCCACCACATTACATTACATTACATTTACTCAATACTGGACTGTGCGACAACTTTACCATTTCGCCACAACATGACTCAAATGGGAATTCCTAACTAAGCAATGCGGAAGCGCAGTTACCAAATAACGTCCGTGAATTATTTATAAAAAAAAAACCACAGTGAGCATGCGCTTTAAATGCTAGACAGCCAGTGAGCATGTGTATTGCGTAAGCGACGTTATCAAGCCATGTCGAGCATGCGCAGTTACCAAAAAGACGTCTCAGGAACCAAGCGGCTGCGAAGACGTCTTAAGAACTAAATAGCGGCTGCGAAGAGGTAAGATTAGCAAAAAATCGTCTTAGGAACCAAACAAACTATTATTGATGGAATATAATGAGAACTCGAGCGGGTCGAAAGCCTCTATTTTGACTATTTTTACAGCCAGTTCATCAGTGTTCGTCAGGGGGGAATAGTAATTAAATTATCGCAAAAAAATGTATGCTCTATCGCCGTACCTATGCATTGACAATCCTATAAAAAATAACCACAGAAACTGAAGACAAAACCTAGGGCCTACTAGTAGCCCAGTAGTAGAATATGGTGCCTTACGCTGAAGAGGGTTAGGGGTTAGGCTAACTATTATCGATATATCGTATGGTACCCATGTTTTATCGACCCGTATAAAATAGCCACACACTTGCGGCAGTAGTAGAGGGCCTAACCAAGGTAGTTGGGGAGAAAAATGAATATAAATAAATTAAATAATATTAAAATTAATATTATATATTATTATTAATGTTAATAACAATAATGGTAAAAATTCGGTTTGGCTCAGTTGTTTTCATTATGGCTGTTGAACTTGTAGTCAGCAGGAGTACAAACAAATACAAACAATAACAGACCCCATGGATAACAAAACGAACAAAGGGAAAAAAACGTAAAAACTAGATTAAATATTTTGGGGAAGAGTGAAATGGTGCAACACAGTAAGAGAAAAAGATTGATTTGGTGTCGACCTCCTGAAACATTTGAGGCATGTTGTGGCGAGATGGTAAAGTTGTCGCACACTCCAGTATTGAGTAAATGAGCTATACAATATGGGAGCTCAAAAAATTGCTAAAAATTCAAATTTGTTTTTTTCACTATAGGTCAACAGTTTAATGTCTTATTAATCATGCCTCAAAGTATTAGTTCTGGAAGTGGTTAACAAATTGTTTATTTAACGTTATTGTTCATAGTTCATTATATTAATAATAATAATAATAATAATAATAATAATAATAATAATAAT